TTGTACTTTCAGAGCAGCTGCACACATGTGCACAGAAGGCATGTGAAAAGTGATAAAAGTTGCAAATAATGACCTTGTGAGGAATGCAGTGCTTTAAAAATAAATTAATTTAGAAAGAAAGGCAGGTTTGCCTTTCAATATTTCTGCAGATGCTTTGAGATATGAAGTGGCAGTTGTCCTGCACCAGAGCCCAAGTATATGCATATCCAGCAGAGGATCATGGATGTGTCATTGCAGGTCCATGGGAGTGTGGGTGATGCATTAGTCATGAGAGTAGTCACTGATGCATTAGTCATGAGAGTAGTCACTGCAGAAATTGCTAGACATGTTCCTTGGGGAAGAAGAAAAAAAAAAAAAAAGGTAGGGTTTAAAAGCAAAGAGGAATTGAGATTGCATGAAGTGCCTGTCCAGTGGTTTAAACAGGGACAAACATTTCTTAAGTTCTTTCGGAGACCCGTGACTGTTCAGGAATTTGTTACGAGCTGGTTTAAGGATGTACCTGGTTTGCAGTATGAGCACAAACACCTTTGGCAACACCAGCTGCCCTCTGCTCAGAAACGTGGGGGCGATGACTGCAGCCTGCTCTTGACCTGCCAGTGGTTCTGGGGTGTTGCAAGTGGAGAACTTACACTGGGACCTGAAAAATAGTCGGTCACAACTCTGTCATGCACAACATGTCTGGAACAGAGGGGGAAGATCATAAAAATTGAGAGGATACTGCAAATGCTCAATCCTGCTGCTATCTGAGCTGGATTTTTTTCTTCTTTTGGGTTTTAGTTTTGCATATTGTTTACATTTCTTAATGGTTTATAAAGCTAAGCTGTTTGTTAGTAGGGAATTGTTCTGGCAACATCTCGTTTTTTGTTTTTTTTTTTTTTTTCCTTTATAAAAACATAATTGCAGGTTCACTAATTATCTCTGTTTAACTCAACTGCCTGTTTATTTTTGAGGAACTGATTGATCATAGCTTTTCCTAAACATTTTATAACAATATGAAAAAAGACACTGATATGATGATCTCGAGTTCCAAACAAGCAATCACCCAGCTCTGTGTTTAAACAGGTTTTGGGCAGGGAAATTGAACTTTTGCCACCATGGCCCGTCAAATCAGTTGGGGACAAACTTCCTTGAAGATTAGCAGAGCCCTCATTCAGGGGTGTGGAGAACTTCAAAACCTGTAACTTCATTGGTACAATCTGCTCTTGGAAAGGGCATGTTACTGGCAGCAGGTTGTGCATTTGTACACCACATCTCTTCCCATGTTCAGGACTTGAGATGTGTGTCCTTTCAGGATGGAGGAAAGGTCAGTGTGCAGTCGTGATGCACAGAGCTCAGTCCAAATCCACGGACCTCAGAAGCATGAAGAGCTAAAAAAGGTGCATGTTGCGGTGGCTGAAACACTTTACATCTTGGGAACATGGAGAATTGACTTTTGGCTTGTATGACTGACCGTAAAGTGTTTCCTGCCAGGTTATTCCCGATGAAAAGTGGGTAAATGGGGACACAATCCCTGTGTGTGAGGCATGTGCTGCATATGGACAGCATGGAAAGCAGATACACCTTTGTTTGGGGGATCCCACTAAAAAGCATCTCTGTTGAAATCTTCCCTGGGTGAGAAGGAGGATATTCACATACCGACCCTGCTCTAGTCACCCAGCAGCATAATCCCCTTTGCAAGATAGCCTTGGGGCAGCACACCATTCTCATTTCGCCTCTCCTCTCAGCGGATTGCTCTCCCGCTGTTTTGTGGGAATGCATTTGCTTTCATCACAGCCTGACTTGTGATAAGCAAGCCGTAAATGGCTTGAAATTCGGGTTATTCAGATAAGCGTCCTAAATTGTAACTATAGGAAGTTGAGCACATATAGGTGCTTCAGTTTGATCTGCAGTGGAAACTAATCCAAATTTAATTATAGTGTATTGTTAAACAGATACAGTCTTTTGTAATCCCATAATATTTTAGAATTACGATAGAATGACTTTATTTCTAAAATATCTTTAATATTTTATAACTTCATAATTCTAGAATAATTTTACATTTCTATAGTTATTTCCATGTAGAAAAAGAAATGTCTACTTCTGTAACTAAACCAGCATAATCTGTTGTTTTCCCAGTATACATGGCCTTTACAAGTATAGAAATTTAAATAAAAAAGGTCTGAACAAGTTAGACTTTTAAAACTTTCAGCTGCAGTCCAAGCATTTAGATTAGTGTCTGCTTTGTAGACTGCTCACCAGACAAAATAATTGAGGCATTTTTCTTCTATAACTGGGGGCAAAGTTGTTTCCTGGCCTTGAGAAGTAGAAGACGTTGAAAGGCAACTGTGCGTTGCATTTTTCTTGATTATATCTGTAATATGTGAAAGAATCTTTCAACATATAATCCTTAAAATATTGATCTAGCAGAGAAAGCCTGACACCAGAAGGGATCGTCTGTCATCAAACTTGCTGCTCACATGGCATCCTGGGAAGATGGCTGTGGAGTTGTGTTGCAGGCTCGTTGGTCTCACCTCTGTTTTTTTTCCCCACTTGCTGCAGGGAGTCTCAGGATGGGGCTAGATATAGCTCGTATACAAGTATTTTACTTTAATTTTTCATTTAATTATATTGCCTTTCAACATTATAACTGCGTTATGGCCTTTCGGGATGTGCCAGCACGAAGGAGGTGCTGTTGAAAGAAGAGCTGCAGTGGGTGTGGGAGCTGCTGGGTGCAGAGCTCCCCCATAAACCAAGTCACTTCTTTAAATGTTCAAATAGAGACTAACAAACAGAGCTAACTCCAAGTGCTCATTTTTATTAGCTGGACTATTTGTTCTCCTTTGTGAGTGTTGATATCCTAACTTAAAACTGTATTTGGTATATTAGAGAAATTCTGCAGCTGATTGTCACCTATAAAATTAATATATTGAAGCTCCCAGTATTTGAGTTTATTGAGGTATAAATACTAAAACGTGGTGTACTATATAGTTCAGCTGCTTCCTTGTTATATTTTTTGAGCCTTTTTGCTTATTTTATTTCTGTGATACCCAAGACAAATAGTTTCCTGGTTTTGATTTCATTCTGGCATTTTTCAGCAGGCTATTTCTTAACAGTATAGAATTCAACAAGATGAATAACATTTTCTGTTTACTGTTTACATTAAAAACCCCAAAACTTCTGTTTGAAAAAAAGAGTATTCCAGATGTCTCTGGGCAGTAGGAAATGTATGTAGTATACAGTCTAATAAAACAGCAAATATAGCAGAAGGATTAAAAAGTGGTGCACGTTAGCAAATGGTCTGAATTTAAACACTAGTCAACACCAGGACTTCATTCTAGGTGAGTGAAATTCACATGTGAGGTATTAAAATTTAACTTTCTAAATACATTTCTTTAGGACCAGGACACTGTGTGTTTTCAAGTCAACTTTAAAACTTCCTTTTCCATTTAATTTTGATTAGATTTTCTAAAATGGAATAAACATAAAAGCATAAAAAGAAATGTAAACCATGAAAGCTAAATGCAAAGCAGATATATCAACAGCAGAAATATGAAAGCCAGACCCCCTGTTCCTCGAGTGCAATATGGGAGGGGGGGGGGGAACCTCTTTGTGTTGCTGTGGTCTGCTGTTCAGCCAGCTCGTTTCCTCACAGCTGCGATTGCAGACTTGCCTCTAACTGCAGCCACTCTTTTATTTCTTTAAATCCCAGTCCCCTCGTCCACATCCATTTGGGTGTTCTTGGGTGGTAAATCCCCTTGGTGGTTTAAGAATGTGATGTAAAGAACAAATAAATCAATGTGAGTCTTTCATGTTAAAAGGGGAGTTCTTTATAGATGTCTATTTATGGCAGGAGGAAGGCTTGACTTCAGCAAGAGGAGAGGGTCTTCCATGGTCAGGGTAGTTTGGTGTCAACATCACCCCTGGGAGACGGAGGGAGGTGAAGGTGCCATCCCTGGGGGCTGTTAAGGACAGACAAATTCTTGGCAAACATCTACAGGGTGAAATTTTGTCACGGAATGGACTAACTGACCCTTATTTCCAATGACTCCTATGTCAATTTTTTAAGATAATGGTGGCAACATGCCAATCAAATGCTATTTACAGTAGCCCAGTGTTGCTGAAAAGGTGCAGAAACTGCTTATATGGTACTTTTGGAAATTCAGTTTTGTGGCTCTATTTTCAACCATCACCTATTTACTTAAACTGTTCTTGATCTTTTTTTGTCCATCGTTGTCCACCATTTTCAGTTAAAAGGTTACAGCAGCATTCTCAAGCTGGTTTTAACGCTACTTTCCGTCTTCATCTGACTGATTGTGATCCTCTAAAATGTGAAATATAGAAAGATACCTGCTTAAGTATGGAAAAGGTATCATCAGGAAATCCCATCCTTTTTCTGGGAGGTCGTCTGAGAAGATGTTATGGAAGGTTCAGGCGAGCTCAAGGAAGCCCAAGGGATAAGTCACAGAAAACGTGGTGCAAAATCATCATTCTTTTAAAATGTAATGTCTAAGCTCTCTGTGTACTCAGTGCTTGGAAATGTAATGTTGACTGAGAGCATGGGCTCTGCTCTTGCATGGCTTTGTTCCATTTACATCAGTTGTACGTGCTTGTACCCTCAAGAGCAGCTGCTAATAGGATTAAAGGCATGATGCAAAAGGAAATCTTCATACAGCGAATTTTTACAAAAGCTAAATGTTTGACCAGTGGTATCTACAAGCTTGATTGTGTTATCTTACTCTAATTCTTTCCCTGTAGTTTTCACTTGGCCCTGAGGAAACCACCATGTCACAGATCACTCTAATTAACAAGGGCTTCAGAAGTGGAAACTGCAGAGGCAGTGCCTGCGGGAACTTTGAAAAACACCACAAAATTTCAATTTTCTTTGCTCTGTTTACAGCGCAGCAGCAAAGTAAACAAAAACCCAGTCTTGAGTGTAATGGTTGCATTATGTATGAGCTGCGTGCCATCTGGGAGAACCAGGGTATGTCTTGTAATTCTCATCATCTGCCTGCCTTCTCTAGATGTGGACGAGTGCGCGGTGGTGAATGGTGGCTGCCAGCAAGACTGTGTCAACACGCACGGCTCCTTCCACTGCCAGTGCCAGGTGGGATACAGGCTCCACACTGATGGACGCACTTGCATAGGTAAGTAAACATTAACAAGCGCTTCACATACTCCAAGACATGTGTTTTTCTGCTAAACCTGTCTTTGTGTAAGTGCAAAGGTCTGTAGACTTCCTAAGTCTGTGTTTTGCCTAATTTACAAAAGATGGTGATACCCCTTCCAGTTCAAGTAGTTCAGAAGAATTCGGGTGTTCCCAGATTTGGGTGGGGTTTTTTGAGAGCAAAGAGATGATGGTGTCCCGTGTTTCCCAATGATGCATGGTTGTGAAAAACTCTTTCATTTTGCAGCAGGCATCAAAGAAATAGGGGGTCTTCTGTTCCTGTGAAAATGTTTTTCTAATTCTGAGCATTTTTAATTTGTGATACATCCCCCTCCATGTTCCAGCCATGCCCTGGTCTTTTTCTGTCCCCATTACTCTTCCCATTACTTAGTCTTTTTGCCTGTTTTTTTCTGAAGAGACACAAAGAGCAGATAGTGAAATCTGCTGCCCACGAGTGTCTGGCAGAATGCTGCTCTTCCAGCCAAGCAATCCCAAACTGCAGGTTGTGTCTTCAGCCATGAAGGCAAAATAAAAGCTTGTGGTTGCCACCCTGAAGTTGGATTTAACCTTACAGTAGGTGACCACCTCCATCAGTCTGCCCAGACTGGGGCCCTGTAGGCTTTCCCAGGTGGTGGCATGAGCAGAGGCAGGAGGATATCATTAACTGGGTGGAGGTGTGGGGCGATGAAGTAAAATCTCTGTGACTGTGCTACAGTGAGCAGAGCAGAAAAAATCCTCATGGGAGGTTCAAGGGCAGAGGCCAAATTTCTGAATTACTAAGATACATTTGAGAATATGGTGCTGTAGACTGGTAGCTAGAGAGGGGGCTCTAAAAAGCTAATGGAATATTTAAGTATGCTCTCAGATGTCTTCTCTAGTTTTCAGAGTGCATGAAGAGAAGAAGCCCTACTCTTTACCTCTTCAGCCTTTGCTGTATGTTGAATATTTTAGGTAAAAGAGTGATGCAGACTTGCCTGCTTGGCTCTGTTTTACATTTTGGTTATTAGGCACAGTGAGAAGCGTGGATGAAGTGGGTTGAAAACTCTGATCCAGGACATTTACATGAATGTTTAGTTTGTGCTAATAATTACTTCTAGCTCAGGCAGAAATTGCCCATGCGTGTGAAGCTGGGAGTTCTGAGCACTTTTCCTGAGATTCTGCTCATGCTGTGGACTGATAATTAGGGTGCTATAGATTTGTGAAAGCTCCTTGTTCCCACAGTGGTCCTGTGCCCTTTGATCCATTCCTTTATCTACACTGGTCTTTTAAAAGTTGTACTGCTTCTGTACCTCAGGGATACATCTTCATCTGCTGCAGTCCTGTCTGTAACATCTCTGTTACAACTGATACCAAATTTCTCTTGCTCAGCCAGCAAAACCCATGTTCTACTCTCTGTGGCACACCCAATCAAAAGACAACAAACGAAAGCCAATAACAAAAGAAGTTGCAAATCAAGCTGATTGCCTTTTTAAAAACTAGTTTTAAAGCACCCATATTGAAGATATTCAGTTCATGAATGCTTGCTGGCAGATGTGTTCCCCTTTCTGCCGACATTAAATATAGAGACCGGGCTGACTGCAGGTTTTACTGCAACAAAAGCTTTGCTAATCTGAACGCTGCTCACAGTTGTACTGACACACATCTGCTGTTGGTCAGAGGAATCCCATGCCAAGAAACAGGCATTAGAAAACAGTAGGAAGAGGGTAGATATGATCCCAAAGGCTCTACCCTTTTTTTTCAGATTTGGGTGTAAGCCACTGATTTACAGGAAGGAGTTACCCCATATATGCTCATGTAAATGAGAGCACCATGGAGCTTGGCAGTTCAGCCCATGACACAATGCCCCTTTATGTGCTTATGGAGAGGATTAGCAGCTCTGCCATTAAAAATAAACCTTGTGTTTCATAGGTTGGACTCTGACCTCTGAAACAAGACACGCAGAGTTAATTCTGCGTGTTGTTTAAAATGAAATAATATATATACATATACTGTCCTTGTGTTGCATTTAAATCAGTATAAAAGTCATGTGGTTGAATTATATGAAAAGGTTAAAAATATTCAGTCATTTGGGAAGAAGAAAAGGACGTCATTTGTTTAAATTTTTGAGCCTGATTTTAGGTAATATGAGAAGAACAGTCAGTATGGTGAGACCACATCTGCAGAATAAGTTCACTCACAGTTTGGTCATTGTCTCGGTTCTTGCACAAAGTCCCTTGGTTGTGCTTAACATCAGCCAAATATGTCATCAGTCATTTCTGGTATTATCACAGCAATAAATTTACTGATGGAACTAGAACACAAGATGTACCAGTGCTCAAGCTGTGGGAATAATGTTTTTTATTTAAAGAACTTACCCTTTTAGGTTTGTTGGGTTTACCACATACAGAGACTTCCAGTGTTTTAGTAATTAATTGCAATTAAAAAGCCTCAATCTTTTCTTGATTATCTTAGTTGGAGAAAGAATGGGTAAAGAAACACTAGTGTGAGAGGAAAAAACAACGTGAAAGCAGAGTGGTTCGTATTTAACTAGAAACACTAGTGGTTTTCTGTGAATTAAAAGAAAAGAGAGAAATTCAGTCTCTCTGATCAGATCTGACCAGGGAAGACCCAGAAGTGAAAGATATGATGTTTGAATTACATTACTTTCTCTTGAATAGTCTAATTTTCAGCTATGGTGGAGAGGGAATTTTATATGAAAAAGGACTAGAGTGGCTTTGGGGGTGAATAGAGTGAGAGAACTGAATGATAAATGCAAAAAGCAGAAAAAGTAGATACTGTGGCAGTTGAATGAATTTACCTGTGTAATACGTAAAACCTTCTGTGGTCATAGAGTGGTAAAGTTTTCTCATGGCACAAATAATCAGGAAGTTCAGTTTGGAGTTGTCCTAGCTATGAACATTATCAGAAAGTGAGTTTTCATTTCACAAATGTAAGTATTCACAAGAAGTTATTAAAAATACTTAACACAATGTTCAGTTCTCTTTGCAGTATCTCAGAAATTATCCAAAAGAAACAGAAATAAATACTAAAATGAGGGACAGGACTAAGTTTCAGTGAGAACTGCTATCATGATAATGGATATACACAATACTGAGAGGAGGATATTGGGTTCTGTTACAGCTGTTTAGACAAGACACCAAAATAAATGGATATAATAAGCTCTCATGCATCGGAGCATGAGACAGTTACTAATTGATGAGGACAGAGAGAAGCATTTCATATAAGCCAGTAACTCAGGAGTGCCTCGCATTGGGATTTGGGCACTGACTGCTTGCACTGACCGTAGAGGATGGAGAGTTTTCCTCTTCTGCTGCACCACTTTATACATTCAGTTTTGAGCACTCATCCCCTCAAGAAGTAAACCCAGTAATACGCCTCTCTTTTGACCTGGCACAGCTAATCAGAACACCTAGCATTTCAGATACGGCTTGCATTACAATAATAATTCTAGATATTTTAGAAGATGTAACAATCTCTCCCACAGAATAAGAATAAAAAGGGGCTACGTTCTGGAAATGATCTGTTTATGGAAAGTGAGTGTCTCAGCTGCAGAAATAAGAAACAAACATCCCTTTAGACAGGCTTTTCAGATGAACCCAACCCAGATTTCTGTTATGTTTATTCTCTCCACATCTTCTTTTTCTTTTTGGCAACCCTATGTTTCTGGGAGCAAAAAGTGCCAAAATCACTTGAGGGGAAGCAGATTTTGCAGCCTCGATGGCTTGGACGTCTCCCATATATAAGGAGGTGGATCTATCTTCTTATAAGATACTCAGCCTGCATCTGAAGAATCAGAAACCCGGGATAAGCTACTTTCTCTTGTGATTGCATGGAAAATTACTGAACTTCTGTCACCAGCTCTTTCCAGTGAGTTCAGTCCTCCTACCACATCATCACAGTGTGTCTGGGATCCTGACTAACTGCTGGTGGTCCGTCCCTCCACTGTTAGTATGAGCCTCAAAATGCATGGTTTGAAGAAATCTGTTTGTTGTTTGTCATTCCTCTTGCTCTCATTAGAAACTTCTGCTTGTACTCTCAGGCAAACAAATGGATTGCCTTGTTCAGTGACAAATAGTGTGTGAAAGTCAAACACTTTCTTCTTGAATCTTTTGATAATCTCTGCTACTTTTGTACCATGTCAAAATACCATCTTTTTCAATGCTCCTTTTCTTTCGTAGCTTTTTGGTCCTACAAATTTTACTCAATATTGACTTCATTTTTAGATATATGTTCCAGACTGAACATTCACTCCAAATTAGGTAATTAAAATAACCAGAGGTAACACTGTACGATTTTTTTTGGTTTGTTTTTAATGCCTTGATTATGTAAATGTAATGAATTTAATTTCATTAAAGTTTAAGTGGCTGGTGTTTGGAAAGCAAGAACTCAGAGAAGGTGTTTATTGTAGTATTAGGCTGTGGTTTTGGACTGTTGTAAATTCATTGTCTTCACTGAGATTTATTTTTGTTTGAACTTCTGGAAGTGAAACCAGAGGTCGGTCTATAGACCCCGATTCATCTTTTGTGCCAGCTGTTCTCTTTGATGTCCACCTTATGTAGAAAAGCTGTTGAGATGCAGGTTTTTATGGAGATTTTCACACACTAAAGCTCTTAATAGAGGAAGTAACAAAGAAAATATCTCTTTAAATCTATAATCTTTGTTTTTCCACATAAGTAAATGCACAGTATGTCTGAAGTTACATTTTATCATTGATAAGGTTGGATTTAATGTGATGGAAAAGACAGCATGTTCTAACCCCATGGTTGCTATGTAGACATCTAACTATGGCTTCACCCTCAGGATTTTTGTATAAATATGACCATTCTTATCAAAAGTAATGAGTTGAGAAATGTATATTTCTCAACCGTTGGCAGATCCTTGTCTTTCCTGCATGATGCCTGTCGCCAACGTCCCCCTTCCTGTGATGCTGCCTCCCTCGCTCAGCATTGTCAGGCAAATTGCCGGGGCTGGGCCGGTACCGCTGTGCCTGCCAGGACTTTGTAGCAGGGCTGATTTTCTACCAGACTTCAAGAACACATGTCTGGAAGCAGAGGGCACGCTGTATTTCCGCGTGAACCCTGTGCACGTTCTCAGCCCTCCAGCCGCAAGCCCCTTTACAAAAGGTAGAATTAGAGTCATGACATGTCAAGTCTCTCCCTTTTTCTGATCAAAGATGCGTTGCCAGCGCCTGGCAGCACACACAAGCACAATTCATCCTGTTCCTTCCCTGGCGGCTCTTCTCCTCCAGTCTGGCACCTCCTCTCACGTAGCCCGCACAGTGCCATGGCAGCCGGCGTGACAAACCTGGCCAGGGCTGCTCCGGAGTGATCCCCCGCTCCCTGGGGAGCCCCGTGCCAGGCCACGCTGCACAGCCCTGCCAGTGCAAGCTCTCGGCACAGGAGTTCACGCCCAGCCCCTTCTGGCTTCGAAACCTCCAGAATTCTCCGTGTGGCAGGTTGCTTCTTATCTCCCCTTACATCCAAATTGGCTCACGCCCAGAAAAGGAGGGAGAAAATGACACTTTTAAAAATCGAGATGTATATTCTGTCACTTGGAGCCGATCTAAGGCGTTTTTCATCTTCTGAAATATTTTCATCTTATTTGAATATTCTTGCTGAAAAACAGGTCTTTGGATACAAATGTGCAGCAAGCAGGAAGCTTTGAGTGTATCAGGTCTGCTGTCTCCTGTGTAGACCTTGAGCTGCTTTCAAGTTACATTGCAATCAGGCAGGAGGTTTGCAGATGCAGGTAGAGATCAGAAGCCCGGGTCAGGTCCAGTGTGCAGTGAGGTGTCTCCTGGCTGCTCCTGTGTATGCATCCATGATAATGTAAAAATTTCCTTTTCCTTTTGTCTTTTTAACACATACTTGACTGCACAAACTAAGTATTTTCTAATTGGTAGCATAGGGTGACATGTATCCTACAACAACTTTTGTGGCTCATGTTTTAATGCCTCTTACAGATAAATTAATTAATATGAATATTCCTAAAAATAAATATCAAAGCTCTTTGCTGACTTCATTTGGTCCAGAGTTACATGCCTTTCATGGAGGACCAAATATTCTTTCCAGCTACTCATGGAGAACATAGTACATCCCTGCTGTTAACATATATATAGATGCAGTCATGCACATGCTCACACTTACATACATATAGCACAATAACAGGTTCAAACTATCTATCTTATTTTTATATGCAGCGTGTGAATAGGTGTGGGAGTGTGTTAATGTGTTTTGGCAGGAGGAGAAATGTTTCTCCATAGGCCGGGGATATATGTTGAACAAAAAAGAATATTAATTTGTCTGGGTAAGAGAAGAAGCCTTTTTAGAGATGTACTAAAGAGCCCCTTGTTCCTTGTGGTTTTACTTTGTCTGTCCTGTGGAGCTTGTGACTCCTGTCATTTGCAGCTTCCTATGCATGAGGCTGAGGAAATCAGCCTGAAAGACAAGTATTATTATTTTTTTAATCAATCTTAACAGGGACAGAAAAAAAAAAAACCAAAACCAAACCACACAAATGGGCAAGTGCAAGTAGGACTGCTGTTTTTTTTTTTTTCCTCCTTACCTCAGTGGATTCTCGAGTGCTTTGTTGATGTCAGATCAAAGGGTGGCTGTACTTCAGTCAGTATTACAGTTCTTAGATCTCACCTTCCTCTCGCTGGAATCATGGGCTTTTGCTGATGTGGGACGCTGTGTCAAACAAGCACCATAAATGCAAGGGAGAGTAATCACGCAGGGGATGGGGACAAGTGCATTTATGAAAGCCGTTCAATGAGCTTTGCGTATTTTTACTGTCATTTATGTATTTAAAATAGGAAATAAGTTTCTTGAGTTGCTGACATTCATTCCTTCAATGTTTCCTTGGCTCCAGCCATTAATTCCTGCAGTGTTAACAAGGGGGGCTGCGAGCAGGAGTGTGTTCAGCTCAGTGAAGACCACTACAAGTGCCAGTGCCAGTCGGGCTACCAGCTGAAAAGGGATGGCAAATCCTGTGAAGGTGAGTCCTACATTACCTGCCTGGAGACACACATTAAAGGCAGTTTAAATGACCCCAGAATAGTGCTTTGGGTCACTGTATTTATTTCTATTTCACCCTGGTTGCCAAAAGCAGCTTTAGATTCACTTATTAATAGGATTAAAATGACACGTGTTTGAGGTGTGAAGTTCACGCCGGTTCACAACTTCAAACAAGGTTTTGGCCTCTGGTTGTTTGTTGCACACTGATGATGATGGCATAGGTTAGGAACTTAATTATGGTTTAATTCTAACACTTTATTACTCATCAAGTTCTATATAGACTTGGCCTGTATGCTACATTTTATTCTATATAAAGCCTTTTTATCTGCTTTTGGCTTATGTTGCTCGTAATGGCAGTCTGATTCATTCATCCTCTCCTTCAGGTTTCTAAGCAAGCACTCTCACAAGCAGAATAGAAATGCTACCTTTGGATTTGATTGTTGTTTTTTTTGTTTTTTGTTTTCTCATATAGCTTAACATATTCATCAGTTTTTAAGGCAAACCCCCCTTCCCCAACACAAGCGCACACACATGGTACCCTTGAATATGCCAGAGACAGATAGGGCCAAATTTATGGATTTATTGCGCTAAAATTCCTGTCACAAAACCGTTTCCATATGGCTCCTCTTCTGCTCAGAGATTTTATATGCTGTGTATAAAGTGTAAGTAAATCCTGCTGTTCAGTTTGCTTCCAACTCATGCTGTGTGCGACGAGTGCTTGGCCTTCGCTTTTGGCCTCTCCAAGTCCTGCCCTCGGCAGAGACTCACGTGCTGTACTTCAGCAAGCACCCGCAGCCAACTTGCCTCTCCTCCAGCTCTCATGGGGTGGTCACGTTTCATCCATGATATTGTCAGAAAGAGTCAGAAAAGGAGAGTGTTAGCGGGGACAGGAAATCAGAGACCTTCCTCTGCTGTTCTCCAGCCCATTCCCAAACCTCTCATGGGTCCTCTGCTGCCTCTGGCACTCGAGATGTCCTTGGTCAAGCCAACTGGGCATGAGAACCCCTGCATGAAACTTTTTGTTGTTTTTATGGTTTTGTGGTGCAACAGAGGTTGGATTGCCAGGGTCTGAGTGTGGCAATGCCTGGTTGGGTGGGAGTTGTCCCTTGTGTGGTCATGGAGCAGTTCAAACATCCATGTGCTGCTTCCTGCTCTATCTCAGTTGCCAGCCACTGGTTCAGCTCAGCAGCAGAATGGGCAGGCTCAGTCCCCTAATTGGTGAGGTTTTGCCACTGCGTAGGCAGCTGTGCCACTACCTCGCATCGTGGGGCTGATGAGGGTCAGCCACCCACCAAAGGCAGCACTTTGTCACCAGTCAGTAATTACTGAACAGTGGCTAGGGGCAAGGTCAGCTTTGTCTGCAGGTGAGACCTTATCAGGACTTCACATGTATGTCTGGTGACCTGTGTTTAGGGTGGTGTAAATCAAAATACAGCAGCGCAATCCCCCCCCCAGCAAGACAGCTGTGGTCAGAGGAAGGAGAATCTGTCTTGCAAGGGCAGCTGAGCTGGCAAAATGAAGACCGAGTAGGATGCTTGTCTCCCATAAATACCTTGGCACATAAACGCCTGTGAGAGAAAAGTGCTAGTTAAGCCAATGGACAAGATTTTTACAGGAACAAATGAGCATAAAGTGGTCATGAATACATTTGGGTTAGCAATTAGAGATGTTTTAAGTAGAAAAGTTGGGAGGAGGTGAGCCTGACTGCTTTTAATTTCCAACCAGGAAGGATGGCTGCTGTAGTTCTAGTTTGGACAGAGAAACTATAGCATCATGAGGGTATTTACTACAGCAGGGGTAGCTGTGTTGCAAGTGTGCAAGCATCCTCGCTGACTCCTTGGGAGTTAATGCTGCACCCCAGAGCCCTGAAAGGCTGTACAGAAACACCCAAGCCTAGCAGTGTGGTATAGCCTTCAGTGTGAAGGCAAACGGATATTATGGAGTGGTGTGGCATCAGGTGAAGCAGTGAATTAGCAGCTCCAGGGATCAGACATGTATGGATGTGGTCAGCAGTGGCTGTGACCCTTGTATAAGAGGGTGGACTATACAGGACGTGTGCTAGAGTGACTTCCCCGTTGGGTTATCCAGGGGTGGCAAGAACAATTACCTTTCTCAAGCCACTTTGAGTTCTCCTTCTGTAAGTCAATGCTATTTCCAGCCCTAACTTTCCCTGCTATGAGAAGGAAATTTTACTCTTTAACACTTTATATTTTTTCCAGTGTAAAGTCATGGTAGCCGTGAGCAAGAAAATTAACTTGATAAGGCCTAATTCTCTTTCTTTAGGTGCTCTAGAGGTCATGGCAGATAGGAGGAGAGACTCTGTTCTTTACACCTTGCAGTGAAGGTCTGAAAGGTCCACAGCCCATGCCAAGTCCATATTGACACTTCACCAAGAACGTTTCTGCCATCCCACATCAGTGTATCACCATAAGTTTTTTGGATGAGGTTCCTGGGTGTCCTGGGACATCTAGAAAATGAAACAGTTTGAGTCAATTTTTTTGCCAGTGTTTAACAGCTTGGAATAGAGCTTCATAGGATGGAGTCTGTTATTTACTAAAGTTATTAAGTCAAACAGTAAGAGCCAAATGAGTAGGAAAAAAAACCTACTAATGAGTTATTTTTAGCTTTTCCTGAAACCTGACTGTAACAGGAAGGAACAGATATGTCAGTGGAAAATAAGTCAATCAGTGGTTGCCTTATGTCCTGAAGATCTTTCCTTTACAATCTTATCTTGTCTAAGGATTTGCAAGGCTGCTATCTTTATTCAAATTACTATGTTTTACTAACATCTACCCTATAATTTGTTGTTTGCTTGTTGTCATGTCACAGAGTATTACCAGTTCTGCTCTATGCTGTAATCATTCTCAAATTAAAGCTTTAGATGCTCCAAAAGCCTTTATAATATGCAGGTTTAACACATGCTGTTTGATACTGATTTCATTTAATTTAACCAAATAGAAAAAGAATCACCAAATAACTCAGTATTTCATATCGGCAAAGAACAAGTTCTTGCTTGAAGCTAAATCCTTTGTAGACTGCAAATTGTCAAAATGCAGAGCCAAGTTGTCAGCCTTGAAAGTGTCACGTAGGATGAAGTGCTGCTGTCCCTTGGAAACTTATTTGCAACCTATCGTGTTGAAAGTCCAACAGAAAATTTCAGTTTTACATCCTTAACAGTGATTTTTTATTTTTTTTAAATACTGTCAAGTCAAACTCTCAGCCTGAAGACTTGAATGGTTATGTTCTTGAGATGGCAGGAGATGAAATAAGGGAATCTGAAGGTGTTCTGGGGCAACATCCTTCTTTGCCAAATGGTGTCACACAATGCCACTGACTACACAGAAAAGTGAAAATTGGAAGAAATTAAAAAACCCATCTGTGGTGGGTTGACTCTGCTAGGATACATGGTGCCCACCAAGGCTGCTCAGTCACTCCCCTCCTCAGTTAGGCAGGTTAAAGAAGATATAGCAAAAGCTCATGGATTGAAATAAGGTCAGAAAAATATCACTCACCAATTACCATCATGGGCAAAACAGACTCGACTTGGGGAAATCATTTTAATTTATTAGCAATCAAATCAGAGTAGGATGAGAATAAAACCAAATCTTAGAAACACCTTTCCCCACCCCTCGCTTCTCCCTGGGCTCAGCTTCACCCCCCATTTCTCTCCCTCCTCCCCGCCAGCGGCGCAGGGGGACGGGGAATGGGGCTGTGGTCAGTTCATCACCCCTCGTCTCTGCTGCTCCTTCCCCCTCAGGGGAGGACTCCTCACCCTCTGCCCCTTTCCCAGCGGGGGCTTCCCACGGGGTCACAGCCTCCTCGGGGCACATCCCCTCTGTCTCTGCTCCCCCGTGGCCTCCCTGGGTGCAGGCACAGCCGCCTCCCCATGGCTGCCCTGGGTGCAGGGGAACCTCTGCTCCGGGCCTGGAGCACCTCCTGCCCTCCTTCTTCACTGACCCTGGTGTCTGCGGAGTTGTGTCTCTTACATATTCTCACTCCTCTCTCCAGCTGCCATTGCCTTTGCAGAGTTTTTTTTCCCCTGTTCTTAGATATGTTAACCCAGAGGTGTTACCGCTGTCAGTGATGGGCTCAGCCTTGGCCAGGGCTGGGTCCATCTTGGAGCCGCCTGGCCTTGGCCCCATCGGACATGGGGAAGCTTCTGGCACCTTCTCACAGAAGCCACCCCTGTAGCCCTCCCGCTATCAAAACCTTGCCACGCAAACCCAATACACCACCCCATATTTAATTGTATCTATACAAAATGGAGGTCTTTCTCTCCTACTCCCTTCTTCTGCACAGCTATATATCTGTGTGCAATTAGCCACTGGAAGAGCAAAGCAGCAAGATCTAGGGGGAAACACCTTCAACCCTTCCCCAGAGTTACTGAAGCCCTTACTCCAGTGCCAGTGCTGTTGAATTCATCTTGACTTTCTCCCTACTGCCCTGATAGAAGTTGGCTTGTAGAGAGCTTGAGGTGACCAGTAAAGGAGATGGGCTGGAGGTGAGTGAGGAATTCTGGTTGTACGTCTCAAACTGAACAATAATTAGTAAAATGGTAAAGCTGAATTAGAGCTTGAATTGTAAGGAAATAGGCTTAACTTTTAAAAAGTGAAACTAAGCAGAACTCTAGAGGACACAGTTCCAAAGGTGTCCACCAAGTTTACCTACGTAATGTTATTTACCAGCATGACAGTGTAACTAGTACTCTGAACTGAAACCTCAACCTTGTACAGGATATCAGATTTTGGTACGAAAACTCTGTCTCTTAACAGACCTATCCAAACAGTCCCAGTAGATCTACTTTGACGTGTGCAAAGTCTTTGTTTGGGCAAATACATCAGCATGCTTCCAGCAGGTAAGTGTTCCAGAAATAAACCCATAAACCACAGTGAAATCTTTGAGGTGGAGACTTCTGCACACAATTTATAAATAGAGTTTCTAAGTACTTGCCACTTAGCGTGGCTTATCCTTGAAATGCTATGTTATTGTTCACAGAAATAAAAATATCTTGATGTACAACATGAATGGCATATGTTTTTAGACTGAAGGAGTTCTTCTGGGGCTCTTCAGTATTTATTTCCTCCAGAGACTTTTAAATACACATTGTTCCATGGTGAACTCCACCGTTGTATGTGTTTATGGGTTCACGCATACTGGAGTGCTAATTGCTATTGTTTAGAGCAGCTCTTGAAATATGCTCAGTTACAGTGAAATAAGAATAAAATGTACTTTTCTTGTCCTACTTCCAAGAGCCCAGCTTCCCACTGTTTAAAGCATCGTAGCTGTACAGCAACAGAGAAAGCAGCATAGAGAAAAACAACAGCTTTACTATACACCAAATTTTATCTTTTTTTGTTTTGTTTTCCCCAGTCTAATCTCTTACAGCTATAGTAATCTTCATTGTTAGTTGTAATGATGGCAGGTAACATCATTTTCAGGCAAAAATGCGACCTTTAAGTTGACAGTCTGCTCTAATTGGTTTCAGTGATAGACCCCTGCACAAGTGGAAATGAAGGATGCTCACAAATCTGTCAAAATGAGAGAGGAATTGCTAAATGCAGGTGTCATCCAGGGCATTATCTTTCTGCAGACAAAAAAGTCCTGTTTAGGTAAGAAACTATGGACTATTTGCTGGGAAGAAAGATATTAATCAACACTCTGGCTTACTGAGCTTTGAATGGAAAGGAATATTTTATACAGATATATGTATGCATTTTGAAACAACATTTCTCTCTGTAATATTTATTTCAGCCAGTAGTCTTGAAGGACCATTTTAGTAATGGCAATTACTCTGTGGTCTCTTAAATCATGCTGGATTAATCTTAAAACTTAAAACACTGGAGTGTTATTTTTGTAGGGTCCCTTTAAAATAATGCCCCAGATAGAGCTCCTGGAAAACTGGTTCAAGTAACACTCTGAACCAGGTCACTGAAAACCTATTTGGAATTCAAAGGGCTTTTTTAGCTGGAGAACTGTTTCCATATTAATAGAGAAAACTACTGTGAAGGAAGAAATCATGAAGTGTAAGATTTCCAAAGAGAGGAGCTCAAAAAGTTGAATTCCAAAGTCTTCTATTTAGTCTGGGATTTTCAAAAGGATCTAAGGCATTTCTGACCCAAAATGTGGGGGAATTAGAGATCAAAATGGCTGCTTTTCTCTTTCAATATGATGATTGGATGCTAGATGGTTTTATGAAGTAGAAAGCACTCGTGAACTTCATGGTGCACAGATTTTTAACAGCATTGTCAGCATCGGGGTACATAATCAAACACTTAATTTTAAACTCCTTTTGAAAACTTGGCCAAGATTTTGCCAATGTTTTAAATTGTTGTCTTATGTATAGAGTGTGCCGAGTGCTTTGCAAAATACTTTCTACCCCGAGTATTTTACTCTGTTGCCTGTAAGCTTTTCTGCAAGTGGGATTGCACACCTCAGTGGTTCCCCCTCTCTTCCCGGGATTACTCATGAGTAGTGTTACTGAACAAGCAAAGTATTTTTTAGTGTAGAAACTTCACTGATGATTCATAGATGGAAACAGAAGTGGGTTTAATACTAGGGTCAGCATGCTACTTGTTTTATCTTGGATATATGTTGACAATTCTATTAATTTATGTGTAAGCTACAGCACTAGGTAACTTGCAATGGTATATATTGGCACAAATTTTCTTCCCAACCTCATGGCAACAGTCTTTTGAATCATTAAGCATCATGTCTTTCCATGGATGTACAATTATTGTTTTTTTTTCTGGGAATTATATGATATCTCTTGCAAAATTCAAGCTGGTATTTGACTCTTTGGAAACCAAGCTAGAAGGAAACAGAGTGCAACTAAAATGTCATACTTTAGCTATTAGCTGTATTTACAAGATAGGAAAAAAACATGTGTAGGATGGTGGCCGTGTTTCAGTTTTCCAACTTTTATTCTTCTATTTGAAAAAGAGGAAAAAAAGAACATTTAGAGAGTTTGCTGATATATTCTACTTGCAAAGTGAGAATTAATTACAGAAAAAGGAGAAATAACCCATTTTATTCTAAACAGCAGCGACTCACATTGCTGCTTCAGAGAAGCTGTCATTTATCCTGAAATTTTCATGAGTCGGTGTGTGGTGTTTGCACTGCCTGGGGCCTCTTTTTGCAAGTAGGCTGATTGCATTTGTAAAGCTACTTGTGTTCAAGTAGAAGGGGCCATGTGGTTACAGCACATGCAGAGGAAAAAAGCCCTGTTAGAAAGTGGTTTGCTGTGGTAGAAGGTGAGGAGCTTCACACCAGACTCTCCTGTGTGTGAGAGACTGACCCAGGATCATTGTGATGAATAATCTGTACTTTGCAAGCGAGATGTCAGAACAAGAGAAGGGAGCAGGAGGTCGGTTAGGGGTTTGCCACGGGTAAGATAATGACAGTCTTTGCAAGGAGGCTGGTGTTTTCTGCAGCTGTGCTCAACACCAGCAGTATTTGGTGTAAGCTTTTGTTGTTGTTTTTCCCCAAGTGTTATTCCTGAATAATATTTTCATGCTCTTCCACTAAGTTTTTAGAAAGATGGATGCCTTTGGTGACATTTAACTCCAAAGTACAGACTAGCGAGCATAAAGCTAAGGAACAGACTGCTTGGCAGAGGACTGGGTGAAGAACAGTCTCCCCACCTACAGCTCTTCACCTTTTTTCTTTTCTCAGAGGTGGGGTGAAACTCCTCTGATTAAAGTAGGTGCCTCCCTGCTCCAAGAAGAAGCTTCAAGGTTCAGGGATGTGACAGAGAAGATCTGTCTCCATTGTAGGTGCTGAAACTCAGCCACCACTTAATCCAAATCATTTGACATTCAGAAAATAATCTGCTATTTCCTGCTCCATTAATTTAAACGTAATGGCACTGAGGACCTGGTAGTAATTCTAGGGTACTGGGAGGTAGGACTTTTTTCCAAGTTCTTTGTGTGTTTTCTTTTGCCACTGCTCTTGTTAGAGGAATAATAAACACACTCCTTTGGCTGATGCTGTGAATATAATGTTTGAAATTGTAAATACATTGAGAGGTTTAAGGCCAGCAGTGTTTAGGAAAAAAAGATTATTCTGGAGAATAATGCTGTGGTTTCAGCATTCCTGGATTCCTCAGATTTGTACACTAACATCAAGATGCTCTTTTCAGTGGACAGTTGAAAATACAGCCGCGTGTGTGTAGAGCAGTATTATTTTTTGTTTTAATATCCAAATGAATGTCTCTGCCTTTCTCTCTGCTTCATAGACATTGATGAGTGTGCAGAAGGGAGAGCCAGGTGTGCTCATCGTTGTGTGAACACTCTGGGATCCTTCACCTGTGTCTGTAATCCTGGCTTCGAGCTGGGGGCTGATGGAAAGCAGTGCTACCGTAAGTGACACTTTTACAGCTACGCATTTCAGCCTATCTTATCCGCAAACTGCTATGCTTCATTTTTAATTCACTTGGATTAGCACTCCCAGCAAAATAAATGTATGCAAAAGCTCAAGCTTAATACTATTTTCTTCATCTTCTGCTACTGCTGGTTTTGCAGTTTGATACGTTCCTAAGCCTCTGTTCACAGACATTAATTATTGCATTTCAAAGAGCAAATAGCCCTGTTGGTTTATCTTCAGAGTCTGGTGAATTCTATTCCAGAGTGACCAAAATATTGTTATTCTATGAAATGTATTAATTCCTGCCCTCCTCTTCCCAATCTTTTTATCTGCTGGATCTGATGATAAAGAAAACCAATGTGATGTTCTGCTCTTGTCTTTATCTGTCTAAATTTGCTTATGTTTCTCCTGAGATTATTGACATGGTTAAGTAGATACTTTAAAAAAAAAAATGGAAAAAAGCAAGATTTGGGATGAAAAAAATACTTGAGCAACTAAAATTTCCCAAAATGAAATTATGCTGAGCCCTGTTGTCTTCCTTCATGTACTTCTTGCCAGCAGGGTTTCTTAATCAATGCTACTTTTCTTGAGAAGGGGACTGACTCCCAGCATGGTTAGTTGATCAGTGATCCCTGGGCTATCCTTGAGGGCATATTTAGATTAATAAAGGAGGTGATGTGGAAGGGTTGGTGTTATTATGGACCTAACGTAAGCTCACTGGAATGCACACAAAGGCATGACCTGTTTTAGCGAAGAGGTGGGCAAAGATCATTCAATCTAATAATACTGTGCAAGAACTTTCAGCAGAATTTCCTTAGGAAAATGTGCTGCATGCCAGAGAATGAATGCTTTCTTTAAGAATGTGTGTGTGTAAGAAATACTTAATAAAGATGAAAATCAGTTTCAAATCATTAACATACATTAAAAACAAAAAGCAATTATGTGAGAGACATCCTGGAGAATTATTTCATAGGTGATGGGGAACTGTGAGTAGTGCAATGGGAGAGGAAATGCAATTAATATATAGACACGAAATGATCTGTTATGGGGATAAAAAGGTGGTTTAGACCACTTAGATTTCATTGTGATTTTCTGATAATATTTTTTCTTGATGTTCAGCAAATCTCAGGGGATGGTGATTCTCTGTGCCTTATGTACAATATTACAGAGCAAACACTAAAAATAAAAACATCCTGCATATATTTATGATCAGGATTATCCCACTGTTTGAGCAATTTACAATCTTTGTTTATTCTTTCATTTCCCAGTGGCATGGGGAAGAGCTGTTATTCCAGTTTTGCTGATGAAGAACTGAGACAACGTAAATTATGAAGATAATATATTAAAGTCAGATTCTGCATTTGGTCGGCTGGGTTTCCTAAATCCCAGTTTAACACACTGGACAGGAGACTAGATTTCTTCTCCCTGGTGCAAATAATCATACCATACATGAGATGTAGCCCTCAATATATGTTGTCCTAATTTATACCCGCTTCCAGCTAGACTTGCATTTCTTGTTGGCGGGCAGGTTACTCTCTGGGGGCACAGAAAGGGGTAGGATCAGAGTCACTGACACAGATGTGTCCATGAACCATGGCAGCGGGGAAATCCATCCTTCTGTAACAGATCTGATGCCCACTGGGATGGGATGGGATGTTTCAGGAAGTACGGTGCTTCCTTGAGGGGAGGGTGTTTCTGAGTTCTACATAGTATGGGAAAATGATTCCTCTCTAAATAGCTCTGTAACAAGACAATCCAGCTAATTCTTCAAGAGAAACTTTATAACTGAGCTTATAGTTTCTTTTCATCCTGAAGAAATCATCTAATGAAGTACCTGGGTGGGAATGAGGTGGCCAGACGTTCCCTTTCCTACATGAGCATTTCCACTGGACCTGGCCAAAATGGTGTGGGGACTGTCCAGTGCAACCAAGTGCAGGAGGGTGGGGTGGTCTGTCAGGGCAAAGGGGGCTGGCAATGGCATCGTACCACCACCCGGTATTAATTGTAGGGGCACAAAGTCTCAGGAGAGGAGCTGCCACATGCCCGCTTGAAGGATGTCCGAGGGTCAGAATCTGCTGATTGTTTTGCTTTGCTGTTAGGTGTCAGGCTCACCAGCAGGACTTAAAACTACGAAGGTTTTAAGGCATTTATGTTTGGTGAATGTTTCAGGATGCAACTCTTTTGCATAAGCACACAAAACTAAAAGCTGCTCTTTGGAAAACAAGCAGTGTGGGCTGACCTGGACCACCAGGGTTCCTCAGATGGTTCCTTTCCTCCTCTGGAGCAAGGGCAGAATTTGCCATTGCATTCAGAGCACAAACCTCAGGAAACCTGTAACATTCTTATAGCAGGTGGACTGGTGAAACAGTGAGCCAGCTTCACGCTACCAAGGTTAAGAGCATCCACTGTCATGACACAAAGAGACAAATACTCAGAGTTCAGTGACTCCAAAACGTGCTGCTCTTGGGTGTGTGTGGGAGCTGAGTTTACATTTTCTGCTACAGCAGTCGGCTTATGGATGCTTTTTTACAGAAGGCTTATTCTCCAGTGACTCTCTCCCTGTGCTTGCTTTTTAACATCCTTTTGATTTATTTCTCCACAAGGCATCGAAATGGAAATTGTTGATAGCTGCCAGGACAGCAACGGCGGCTGCTCTCACCACTGCGAGCACACGACTGCAGGGCCACGCTGCTCCTGCGACGATGGCTATCGCCTCGATTTTGATGGCAAAACATGTGCAGGTAATTCATGGTGAATGCTGTGTCTCCACAGGAGGAGGGAGGAGGGGTGGTGGGTCTCTCTGCAAGGGCAGCCTGCGGGAGAGCTGTCACTCAAGTAAATACCTTCCCATCCCCTTCCCTTCTACAAGTTTTAATTAATACAGTCCTCTGGCGCTTCCTCAGCCACTGCTCCAGCTTGCCTTGCTCTGCGTGTTTGCAGGGATTATTAATTAACAAGGGGAAGGAGTTCTGCCTCCCAAATGGAAGATGACACGTTGGTGCATCTCCAGTTGCTGTGGCCATATCTGCCCAGTCCAAGCATCACTTGTCTGAATTTTTTCTCTTCCCTTCCTCTGTTGGGTTGGCTCTGGCTGGGAGCAGTAGCACTGCTGTTCTGAAGTGCTTCATGTGCAAACTCGACTTTGTGTTATGAAAGTTGCTGTATTTCCATCAGATTTGCTCAGTGATGAGATTGCACTTCTGGCTGTGAGAAGTCTCACTTAAGAAGTGAAAGCAATAGAGTTAGATTTGTTTTTATTTCAAGAGAAGAGTTTAAAAATTCCTTCATGTTTTAAATGATTTTACGATGTGATTTTTTTTGTGTTGTTGTTGTTTGTGGCTTTTGCTATGCAAACTGTGTCTTATTCTGGTTTAGGCATGCTGTCACTATGCCATTAAAATTTCCAAGAATAGCCAAGAAGAGGGGGGGAAAAAATAGAGCAGGCATCACAGCGTGGTATGGTAAGATGTGAGGAGAGGTAGAGAGCAGGAGCGCTGGTGAATGTGAGAGGCATTACAGACAAGAGTCTTGCAACCAAAAAAAGCCAAGTGCAGAAGAGAGGAAGGAGTGGGGGAGGAGGGAAACACTGAGGTCTGCAGGGCAGTTGATGCTGGAGCTTAAAAAGGAAAAGAAAGGAAGGACAGGGAGGGAGATTTGGACCCAGAACCTCACAGGGATGGGGTGGGTTACACAGTCTGGTTTGTGCACAGATTGAAGGAGGCAGAGCAGCCTCCTGCCTGTGCCCCTGCTCAGTGACCTGCTGATGGAGATTTCAGAGGGAAGCAGTTACTCTGGGAAGTGAGAGCAGAGGGGAATGGTTTGGCAAGGCTGAAGACATGAAAAGCTGCTCTTAACAGCAAAAATCTCCTTTTTCTTGGATGCACATTTCGCATTCCTACACAGACAAGGGGCTGTTGCAAGACCCCAGAGCAAGGTGTCATCTGACGTACTGCAGAGGAACTCGCCTTGTGACATTTCTGGAAAGCACTCGGTGTTCAAATAACCCACATTAATCATTTTCGTGCTGACCTCCTCACCTCAATTGATTAATTACATTTTCTTTCTCCTCTTTCTCCTGTCGGTGTTTCCTAATAATGTTGGTACTCCTTCCAAGGTTAATTGAGACACTGACCTTTCTCATCTGCGGCTGCTCATCTGGGTAACGTTCAAAAGCATTTTGCAGACTCAGCATTGACAAGGTGGCCCTGGAATGGCCACTGACCTGCTCAGCAGGCTGCAAGGGCTGAGGTCAGCTGAGAGCCTGTAGTGAAAAGATAACAGCTCGATTCTCATATCTAATCACCAGAACAGCGGTGTCGACGATACCAATTTCCAGATGGACACAGGGGAATATAAGGCAGTGGGCAATTAGTTATCAAAACCTAAATTGTACCTAGCAGGTTACTGATGTGCAGCAAATGCATTGGATCAGGGTGTTGTTTCAAGGTATTTTGCATTGAATAAGATTGAACATAAAAATCCCCAAATGGTTAAATGTAGATTGCTGTTAAATAGATGGTATTTTGGGGCTGCTGAGACCTAGTTGTTGTCTGTTTTGTAAATCACCTCGTGGCAGCTAAGAGTTGTAGAAAAGATGGTTCTCCCTGGACGTGATGGCATTGGGTGCTGTGGGAGAACGTAGAAGACAACCACTGTCAGGATTCACACTGGTTCATGCGGGTGGAGGGAGAGGAGGACCTAGAAAGGCACGTGCTGAATTGTGCAGTAGCTGCTGAGCAAAACCGTTAACAGCAGCCCTCGCTGTGTCCAAGGGCTGAACGAGCTGCCCCTTCCTTGCAGAGCTGGACGAGTGCGAGACCGGAGAGTCCTGCTGCTCCCAGTTCTGCATCAACTACGCGGGTGGCTATGAGTGTGCCTGCAAAGCTGGCTTCCAGCCCAACGCCGACGGCTGCGCCTGCGACGGTCAGTGCTTTCCTACCGCTGGCTCGGTCCAAGTAAGCACAACAGCGGGAAGAAGAAATGCTGTCAAAGCTCATCCCAGGGCTTTGTGGGCATTTCCCTAATAAGACAACCAGCGACCATATGCCAGTTTTTCTAGTGAGGTTTTACAAATGGATAATTTCCACTTTGTAAGACGGGAATACAGTAATAACCCAGCATCCAGCATGGAGAAGTGGGGCTGTGGGAGACAAGCCAGCAGAGAGGAGCTTTTCCTCCTCTCTATGAACACTGTATATTGATGTGTGTTAAAGACTACTTCTGAGAAAGCAGAGCCCTCAAAATAACCAAAGGATCAACTGAGCTTAGCAGTTTAAGGCAGCTGTTTTCACTTGTGATAAAAACATAGGTGCAATAAGCTATTCCATATTGCCCTGAAATGTTTTAATACATCTAGTACTACTGAGAGATGGAGAGCCCCAAAATACTGAGAAAATCGGGTTTTCTTATGCACAGAATATTTTTTCAGATGCAGCCAGGCACAGAGTTCACTCTCAGAGCATAGGTACTTGCACCTAATCAGCATTTATATCTGTTTTTTCTAGATGTGGATGAATGTCGTCTTGATAATGGCAACTGCGACCATTTCTGTGTTAATTCTCTGGGGTCGTACGAATGTGCATGTAAGGAGGGTTACAGGCTTGGTGTTAACAGATGGTCCTGCATTGGTAAGATATTTTTACATTTTGAAAGCCATTAAAATGTTTCCCACTGATTTAAAATATGAATTCCACTGAAGTTTTCACAGATCCTGGGATTTGGGGAGCCCAACCTGAGCCATCTCTGAATGTGGCCAGGGTAGAGCTACGTGCAACACGTGGATCCCAAGTTCATCCTCAAGTAATGGGTTTGCCAGCGATTAATGGGAGATGAACACTTAAATCCCCTAGACATGTTTGAAAACCTACACCTCATGTTTTAGAAATAAATACTGTTTTGACAGTTTTCTCGTAGAGCTTGATGAGGTTTAATATCCTGTGGAAAAAAGGTAGCCAGATTCTGCTTTGAACCAAGGCAAGTTTTCCACTAAAGTCAGTGGTGTGATTCTGGATTTCTGCCAGTGTAACCAGTACAGAGTTTAGCTTAGCAACTTAATTTTATAACCAAGTTTAGCACCTGCTAAACCTTGGACGGTGTTTGATATTATAACCAACTCCAAAAAGAAAGCCAACTGATTTCCCATCATTTTAAGGCTCAGATTTTAGCTTTTCTGAAAATAAATTGGACAGCCAGCTTCACTCTATATTTGTCATCTCCAAAATGAGCTAGAGTAATGACCTTCATTAACTAAAAATAATCTCAAACTTCAAGTGAGGAAAATTAAACTCCCCATTTAATTTTTTTTTTTGACTCTTCAGGATCAGAGTTTATTTCCAGAAGAAAGGAAAGGGAAAGGTTTCTTCCCCCCCCCC